TGCTGTCGACTATGCTCAAAACACGCCACTTCACATTGCTGCTGCGGTTGGAAGCCTGGAGGCCGTCGCCATTCTTGTAAATGAAGGTGCTGATGTTCTTGCGAAAGACCGGTAAACACACCGAAAGCAACTGTGGAACTTTGTTTGTAAATGTGTAACTGTGTAAGTCTTCTCGTCACAGGCATGGCCACACGCCCCTCGACGAAGCGAGGGATGCCGAGAGTGAAGCCGCAGTGAAGATAATCGAGGAGGAAGTGGCGAGGCGTCGTGAATCAGAGAGCTCGAACGACATGGTTCGTTTTCTCAGCTTTCTTGTCAGTGAGTGTTGTGGGTCAGCTAATCAGATTCGCAATGACAGAGCTAGCAACCTCGCGACGAAAGTCTACTAGAGTATCGGATTCCTATAAATGCGTTGACATCCGCTATCATCTATCTATGTAAGTAACCAAATTACAAGAGCCTGGACGAGAGTAATAACTTGAGGAGTTTATACAGTTTTTATATGTTCATCTCCCTTTCTTTTTCATTGTTAATCAAAAGAAGGTGTTGGTTTTGTCTTCAGGCAGAATGTGAGATATCTCGTAGCTGACTTTCAGGTACTTTTTTTCTCTATCACTTTGCGATCTCACTGGCTGGGCCCTTGGCAGAAAAGCAGAAAGTGATGGAGAGTAATGCAAATGGATTTAGGAAACACACAATGGGTTTAACCGGTCAGTCAAATCTTAAAACGCTCCACTGTTTTAAGTTTTCCAGTTGACCAAGTTGCGATGGAGCTTCTCTTTCGTATATATCTACAAAGACCTTTGAGCTCCGGGCATCAAAAAGGAGAAGAAGAAGCAAAACATTCGTGCTGCTGGACAGGCAAGAGAAACACACAAGTCTTTCTTCTCTTTTCTTATGCGTGATTGATCGTTGTTTTTTTAGCTCTCAGCGGAGCATATTGCTAAAGACATGGAGTTCGTGACTTGTGTCCTCTAGCGACTCTCTACACACTCAGTCGTCACCGCGTGATGCTACTCTCTATTCCTTCCTGTTTTTTTTCGTTTTTTCCCTTCCATGATTCCAGTCCAGCAGTGATGCCACTGTTCCAAGCTTGACTTGTATTGTGATCTACTCATGATTGTGCAGCTTGGCGCAAGAAATCTTCTAGCTTTCCGGCTATGAAATTGGACACTAGCGCGTGGACACATCTCCGAGCAGACACCAGTGCGAGAGAGAGAGCTGGAGCGGGAGCTTTCATGTCGCCTCCCAAGAACAATTCACGGGTAAGGGTTCTCGCGATCAAAGATTAATCGAGCTCACGGCATTAATGGCTGCTCTCATGCGCTATTTTGCAGGGCCTTCGCCACGAATTACCGGCAACGATAACAGCTTCATACCAGCTGATTAAGACAGCCGATGTGGAAAACTCGGCAATAAAGTCGCTGATGCCATGCCAAGAACAAAGCTCTCGAGGTATCTTACCAAAAAAATCTCATTTTTATGGAGCTTTCACTTACTGATTCCTTGTTGCTTGATTGCCGTGCCCCAGGCGATGTAAGTGAGGCCGTTTGCCGGATTTGCCTGGTGGAGCTGAGCGAAGGCGAGAGCTTTCGCATGGATTGCTGCTGCAAAGGGGACCTCGCGGCGGCTCACAGCGACTGCGCAGCGAAGTGGTTTACGATCCGGGGAAAGAGCTCGTGTGACATCTGCGGACACACAGTTAAAAATCTCTCACCGCTGCTGGACAGTTCGAGAAGGAGCTTTCGATCACTCGATGATGGTCCCCAGCGGCAACAATTGGAAGAAGACTACGAATTGATCAGGTAAAAAAATGTTGATCTTTTAGACGAGTTCTGCTCAGCAAACCAAGATTTTTCCAGGAGCATTTCTTGGATCGAAGTGTTGGCAGTGTATTTGAGCTGTGCGCTGGCATCGCTGTGGCGAAAACTGGAAGAGCTCTCAGAGTTTCCATGAAAGCTATGGAAATTGTTGTACAGAAGTAGGAAGAAGGGTTTACATCTATCAACCTTTTAGGGTTTGTGGCGTCGCTTTCAAAGCCTTCGTTTTTTTCGCAAGCTTTCCATCTCGTATTGATTCGCGGAAGGATAGAATTGTAAGAAACAAAGCCAGAGATGAAGAAAAAATTGGTACAAACATTATCTCTTTCCTCGCAACCAAAATCAACAAAGAGAGAGAGAAAAAGAAAAACACTCTTTCCGCGAGCTCTTGTTTCACTTCTTCACGAAGACGATGTCTCATTTTTCGTCTCGGATGCGGTCAGGCTCTGGAGGTCTCTCTGCAAGGCATCTTTTGGAAGCTGTGAATTCAAAGCCTGGAAGAGAAAGGGCGATGAAAAACGAGCTTAGCTTCGATCAGCTCAATCGTACTTAAAGATCAATCAGACCTTGACGTGGAAGTAGTGGAAGGTCGTGGACGCGTTGGTGGAGATGTTTGCGTCGAGGACTCGGAACTTGTGATGCTCCAGGAGAAGCAACACCTTGGAGAAGACGCTCCTGTTCTTGCTGGCGCAGATCATGGTGATGAAAGCGTCGCTGCCGCAAACGCTGAGGATCACATTGGACGCCTGCTGCGATTGCTGCTGGATCATGCCCGGATGATCATCGCCCCCTCCGGCGTTCTTGGAGCCGCGGTCATTGGTGGTGGTGCAAATCGATGGCGATGGAGAGCCCGAGTCCTTGATCGCCATCGCCGCGCGAGGAGAAGCGCTTCTCAACACATCGGAGCGTTTCTTGTCCAGATCCTCCAGGTCCTTTCGGAGGAGATGGATGTAGCTGATGATCTCGGAGACGATGGTCGACTTATCGCTCTAAGATCAGAGAAAAAAAATCGGACAATCGGTTTTAGCTACAGGATGGAGGAAGGCAACAAAAACCACGAAGAAACCAAGAACGAGAGAGAAAAATAAAAGGGAGAGAGGAGCTCCAAGTACCTTGGAACACGTCTCCGGTAAGAGCGATGCCAGCGTCGAGAAGAGATGGTTCATCCCTTTCCTCCGCTGCCTCTCGGAAAGAATGTGGCTCTCGCGCGGCGAGATGCTTTTGCTCTTGCTGTCCACTCCAAGATCGTGAGTCGCTGCCAATGTTCTTCGGCTACTTCGCTTAGATCCAGCCCCCGCCGCCTTCGCCATCGGTGGGAGAGCTGGAGGAGCCACGAACTGCGTCGGGGATGGCGATGTCAAGCACGGGAGAACGCTCGACGCTGGCGAGCAAATGCCCTGCAATGTGGAATGGGTCTCGGGGAGTTCTTGCGGGAAATGCAGCAAAGGGTCGTCCATGGATTCGAATGTGGCCATTGGAGAAGCTCCCTGATCGCTCGAGGTGGCCGCCGCCGGCCACCACTCTGGGAAATCCTCGAGCTCGAAAGAGGGCAATCGAGTCTCTTCCAGGAGTGGTGACTTCAGCATTTGGTGGATGGATTGCTCGATAGATCCATCCGGAAGAGGAGCAGCGGCAGCGGCAGTGGCAGTGGAGCAGGATTTGGATCGTCGTCTACGCGGTGGCATTGCACGCTGGAGGATCAAAGAAAAAAGTCCGAGAGTGAGGAAAAAATGCGATTTTTCCGGTGACTTACCGCGAGTTGAGAGAGATCCCTGTTGCAAATATCGTTCTTTCACAGGCAGGAGCTCGGAAGCTCGGATAAGTTGTAGCGTGGTAGCTTGAACGTTCTAAACGGGTTGGACAGGATGGGTGAGAGAGAGAAAGAAAGAGAGGGCCAGGCTTTATAAAAAAGAAGATCTGGGAAAATGGACTGGAAGAGATGGTGATCATAAGCAGCAACAATGGTAAAGTCAGATCGCTCGCTCGCAAAGGCAACGAATAAAAAGCCAATTAAGAAAAGGCTGCCCCATCGCTGCTGCCTCGCCCGCAAGTCAAGACTCGCAATTGTGACGAGGCGAGCCGAGTATGGCGAGCTCCTTCGCCTTCCATCGTCGCAAAATGAACAGTGCAGCGTGATTCTTTACAGTAACACCAAGATCACCGCGTTAGTCACGCGACTTAGCCAGGGCCACGAGACGCATATCGAAAGAGATGGACAAACTTCTCCTTGGACGTATACAAAAATCTCTTTTTTTTCTTCGAAGGACAGGTTGCTGGTGAGAGAGGGGACCGTATCTCGCACTCGCAGCAGGTCGCCGGAAGGAATGCACGTTAATACAATCTTTGCACGTTTCCACTCGGGCGAGTCGGAGTACCGAAGCGGCAGTGGTTTTATAAGCGATTAGCGAGAGGGTGAGAGAGAGAGAGAGAGAGAGAGAGAGAGAAGCTCTGTTAATGGACAGTGTTGAGCCACGCTTCCACGTCCCTGAAATGACAAGTCTCGGACACCACCACCATGCCCTGCCTCTTTCTCCGCTCGTCAATTTCGCAAAACTTTCCGTAAGACCTTCTGAGATTCTAGTACCACTATCTGATGTTAAGGCACACCACAATGTCGCCATTGTTCCACGTGAATAATGCTTTTACGGATTTTGTTCTCTTTGAGCAGTGACTTTGCAAGGACTATCTAGAGTTTCTCCGCGTCGCGCTAGCAAAGTTTGATTTTTGATCGACCGGGTGGCGCGAGTAATCCAGGTTCCAGAATGTGAATCGATAAGCTCGAACTTACATCCATGAATTCGTACACCAGAGAAGGGTCAGCATTTCATTTAGAGGCACTGAGAGGTATGGCTCGCGAGGAAAGTAATGAGAAGCCGGCGTGTAGCTTCCCTTGGCCTCTCGTGTTTGTTTGTTCGTGGGATTTTTTTCCCATTTTTTTTTCCATTTCCGAGCTCTCATTTACTCACTCGCTATGATCTGAAACTCGTTGTGGATGCACGGGACACGGCCACCGTGCCCTGTCAAAGGATAGGAAAAGTATCAGGAGCTTTCAATTCGGCACCACCAGCATTCGATTTTCTGTGCAGCCATGGCATAAAAAAAAACGATTTTTTTCTTCACAGGGATGGTGATGATGGCGACTGGTCTCCATCCAAGTAACGAAGGTATCGGGGTTTAGGTAGTGGGATTTTTTAGGGCTCTTATTCTCGCGCTAGGTCTGTGGCGGGCGATGGCGCTGGCTGTGACAGCGCCAGTGTCAATCGGAGGCGCTGATCGCGCAGGTGAGGTCGCGACATGTATGCTAGATTATGGGCATTGTCTCGCGCACGGATATCTAAATTCTTTCTTTCTCACACAGCGTGCCTCGCAAGTCTGACTTTGCGCTCGCGATCGAGGAGATTTAAGCCGCGATCTCCGGGTAAGCTTGCTCACGCACAGAAAAAACAAGAGGGGCTCGGATTTTTTTCGTTTGTTTAGTGTTTTTCCTGAGGCCATTGATTGTCGACTGTTGCTGAGGTTGAAGTTTCACAGCTTGTACGTCGTCAGTGGATGGTCGGGCTAGTTTTGATATCGAGGCAAAGAATCTGTTTGTGGAGGTACGGGGTGACACGGGGCTTGTAGTACCCGTGCTCAAGAATTGTTCCATTCGAATCCCGCAAGGACAGCTCTGGATGCTCCTCGGGCCCAATGGATGCGGGAAATCGACACTGCTCAAGGCCAGTCTTTACGGTAGCCTTTCACTTTCGTTTGTGTAATGACTCTCCTAACTCTTTGCTTGTGTCTTGTTTGGCTATTTTCCAGTGCCTTGCAGGGCTGATGAGACCCTCCCGTGGACAGATGCGTGTGGCACAGCCAAAGAGCTTTGTCTTCCAGAATCCGGATCACCAGGTTCCTGTAGTTGATAGCCAGTTTTTCACTTCTCGTTGTTTCCACCAGGTTGTCATGCCTACAGCCGAAGCAGATGTTGCGTTCGGGCTTGGACGCCTACAATTAACGCAAGAGGAGGTCCGGGACCGAGTTTGGAGGTCTCTTAAAGCCGTGGGGATGGAGAACTACTTACAGGTGAATGAAATGTGGTTTCTTGTGTGGACAAGCAGATGAGTTTTGTTTTTTTTTTTTTTTCCTGCAGCGTCCTATACAGACGCTAAGTGGTGGTCAAAAGCAGCGAGTGGCCATCGCGGGGGCGCTTGCCGAGACAAGCCGGGTGCTTCTTCTGGACGAGTTAACGACTTTCTTAGACGAAACCGATCAGGTCAGTCTCCTCAAGTCGTTTCTTTCATCTAAAAGGACTGCTTGTCATCAGGTTGGAGTGTTGGAAGCTGTCCGACGAGTGGTTGCTGGGCCGCCTTCAGTAACGTCCCTGTGGGTAACTCATCGTCTGGAGGAGCTTAACTACGCAGATGGAGCTGCCTATATGGAGAACGGACGCGTTGTTTTAAGTGGATCCGTTGCAGATGTTATGGACTACATTAACCTCAAGAAAGCGGAGCTCTGACGAGTCCTCGTGCCATGGTATTGGTATGTCAATGTCGCTTCTTTTCTTTCAACACGACGAATCTGACCAGACTATCTTTTAGGAGATTGGTGGTGTCCAGGAGGCACGAGCAAAGACTTTTTTAATGCGGAGAATTGTGTTCGTTATCAATGCCGCGGCTTTAAAAGCTCCCACGACGATCTCCATGATACGGTATGTGTTGTGTCTGCTCTACAGTGCCAGCAGAGAACTCTCACTCATGGCAAAGCTTGCAGTGCTCGCCACTCTTCTACCAGCAGTGTTATCAGCAGCAGCAGCGCTCTCTTCGTCTCTAACATCTCCGGAAAGCTTCCAAGCTCCGTCCCGAGTGAAGTTTTACATGCAAGACAGGCAGCTGATCGCGAACAGCACCGGGGTTGTAGTCGCGGCACAGGGTGGCAATCTCACGCTCTACGGCTTTGGAACTCTGATCGTCATGGACGATCCACTCACGGAGACTCCCTGCAACGATTCCAGGCTTGTGGGACGCGGGCAGGGCATGTACCTGGTGGAGTCGAGGTCCGACTTTCATTTGCTCGTCTCCTACTCGGCGTTTCTTGAGACTTCCAGCTACAAGGGGAGCTTGGTGTTCCATGGCTCGTACAAGGCGCTCCAGTCCCCGAGAGAGCTTCCAGTGATCGCCGGGACGGGGGACTTTAGAGGAGTCCAGGGATACGCGATTGTCACCACTGCTGTGGATCATGGATTGTACGTGGTGCTCCAAGTGGACTGCTACTTGACTCAAAGAATGTAGAAGAATCTTTATATCGAAAACTAAGTTACCAGATCTTTGGAATCCGCGTGGCTTTTCTTTCTTCTGCAAACTTGTTGGTGGCCTGGATAGAAACAACGTCAAGGCTTCAGCTATGGTGAAGAACTAGATGATTACCTCATAAGTTGAGTAGCTGCAAGCCTCCCTTCTGATCCTGGCAGCCACCGAGGTGACGCTTGATCCACTCCCGGTGCTCCGTGGAAATGTTTCTGGCGCTGGAGCAATCTGGCTGCTGGGGAAAATGCGTGCACGGCTCCGAGGACTGGCTCAAGTAACACACGTCCCCCTCGGGATGGAGCTCCGTCCCTCTGATCTTCAACATCCACGGCCTCGTCCTTGCCAGCCCCCGAGAGATATAGCCAAAAGTCGAGAACTCGCTCGTGGCCAAGTGGTGGGCGAAGCTCAGCAGCCACATCTCCGCCAGAGCGAGGCTGGCCTGGTGAAGATTGTGCCACTCGGCCCCTTCGCTGGACAGGGAGTGAAAGCTGACGAGCTCCTCTGATGCTGTCCCGTTTTGTAGAAACTCGTCCCTGAGTGTCTCGTAGTACTTCCCTTGGAGCGAAGCCACGAAAACGGAGACGTCAACCTGGTGTTGCTGCTGTTGCTGCTTCTCAAACTCGATCAGCGATGGCGAAGAGCTTGAGGATAAGTTCGGCAGAAGATGGTGGCTTGTGAGGCACCTGGAAACTATCTGGTTCACCAGCGGATCAAAACTGGCCAGGTCTGGTCGGCTGTGTGTTCGTATCTGGACCCCAACCCGAGACTTGGAGCAGGATAAGTAGCTGTTGTAGAAGCGAGAGACTAGGGACCATATGGAGTTCGCCGGTGCGATCGCGAGGCTGGAGAGTTGAGCAAATATGTCGAGCCGAGAGCCTGGAAATAAGGTAACTAGCTTTCTCCACATCCACGGTACCTTAAAGAAGCTGGAAACGAAGTACTGGTTGCTGCTCCAGGCGAGGGTCCTCACGTGGCTCAGTGGCTCCTGGAACTCGTTGCAAAAGAAGAGCTTATCGGTCTCTCTCTGGACGTGAGCAAGATGCAAGTGAACGATTGGAACACTAAAGTTTTTATCGATGGCTTGTCCCAAGTCCGGAGCATGTTTTACAATCTCTGGAAACCACAAGCTCGACTTTTAGTGTATATTATAAAAACAAACAAACCAAGGCTCACCATATGGAAAGTCAGCTGGAAGAAGCCATGAAGAGCCTTGAAAAGGCTCACAGAGTATTTTCCCAACTTCCTTCCTGGAATCTATCATCAACACCCGATCTGTGATCATAGAGTAGAGCAGCGCTGATAGTAGCGACAAGATCCTGTTTCCCAGCCCCTCGTGAGTCTCAACATAGATCATGAACTTACAAGATGAGTTGACATGGGAACTTTCTTCGAGGAGGACTTCCGTCCAGTTGGAGGGAGCACACTTCCTGTGCAACTCACCGTATCTCTTCCACGACTCTAGCAGCGTCGGAGAGATGTCAGCCACCTTGTTTGCCCTGTAGAGATGTTGAGAGCTCCTGCTTACACAGCTTGGATCAATGCTGCCCGCACTTATTCTTGTCTGTTCTGATGGCATCGCTTTCCACACCCATAAAGCTCTCCAGTGAAGGATATCGACATCCTCGATGACGAGAAGGACAAGAATCATGAAGCCGGACAGGCTCAGCAGCACTGTGAGCTTTGACGAGCCCAGATCTAGAACCCGATTGATATCTTTCATGCTTGCTCGGCCCTGTGGCTTCTCTCCAGGTTCTGCGAAAATTTTCTCAACGCGTTACGTAAGAGGAAAGATCATATAAAATAAACCAAAACTGCCGACTAGTTTACGCTGCACTTACGCATGTTGGAACCACATCAAGTCGTGCACTTTATTAACGGAAATTCTTCAGCGGCTTTACAGGTTTCTCGCGTATTCGCTTGAAAGCCATGTAAGTTGTTGCTGCGGACAATGTATACCTGGAAAATGGCCAGTTTTAAGAACGAAAAACATCTAAATTGCTTACCAGGTAAATGCGTAAGTCAAGTGGTCATTTGGCATCAAAGAAGTGCGAACGAAGTCCTCGATCTCTTTCGGAACAGGGAAGGTGATCTTATCGTCAGTACCAGGACTTGAGCCAACGGCTTCGATGTATGGACTGTTTTCTGGAAGGCCCGCCGCTTTCAACATCGCCGGAACATCGAAGTAGAACCACTGCCCTTGTTCTGGAACGTTTAGCGGGACAAACATGCTGGGATTTTCACTCTTCCTTACAACGCCGCAGACAGTGACGGCACCCTTCGCGGGAGAAATCTTCGCGACAAGAAAAGCAATGTGTCAGGAAGGAAAACTCGCAAACTCGCAAATTCGGAAACATACCTCCATTGTCGGTTTTCCCTTCCACCAAGTCCTCCACCACGTCCCAGTTTTGATCTTGTCTTGATGGAAGCGTTCGTCCAAGGTAGGCGTCACGACTCCTTTCTCAAAATCCTCGCGCCATGCTGCTGGAACCCATCCACGATTCACAAGCACCGCAGGCTGCATATCCGAGGAGCTGACGATAAGAATCAGTGCCTAAACGGGAGCGAGAAATTTTTTTTTACCTCGCTGGAAGAAGTGGGGTGACGAGATAGTATCCCCTCTGGCTGGAGCCAAACAGTTGCTTCATGCGAGGGCCAATAAAGATAGACTTCTCCTCGTCATAGACACCGTCGCAAACAACTCTCCGGTACTCGAGAGCGCTCTCGCCGTTGGAGCTCGAGCTCGTATCATCGACCATGGCCAAGGCCAGTGGAACAGGATCCTGCTCCAGCCTCTTTCGCTTATAATCCAAAAGCTCCGCCTACATTACCAGCAGCGATGAGAAAAAATCCGATCTTTCAGCTTATACCTTCCAATCGCGTCTCTTGACTTGCCAGGTCCCGAGCCCGAACGTCGCCACACACGGCAAGAAGAGGAAAACCACGGATAATCCCAGCTTCTTCTTCGTCGCTGCAATCGATCGCATTGAAATACACCAAAGATGATCGATTTCTCCTACCCGCTGGCTCCAATTCGTGCTCCAGGGCAGCTCCCGCCGATCCACGAATCCCCCGCAGAGCTCCCGCGCCCAGCGCGGCACCATAGCGCTGGAGCGCCTTCCTCATCATCATGCCCTAGAGAAGACGGTATATGCCGCGAACAGAATATCCAGCAAGAGATTCCGATTCGCGGCATATTCTAGCGATTGTGCTTGGAATATCCGAGACCAAGAGGACTGACCGCTCAGTTTATTGGACAGTGCAGTCTATCGCGTGTCCATCCACAGTCGCGCACGCATCTGGGCTTTTCTCTGTGTAGCGCATTCCTCTTTAGGTCTAACGCTCGCGCTCTTCTCTCTCATTCCGGGCTAAGCACAGCAATAATCCAGGGATCCCGAGAGCTCCTCCCCTGTTTTGGCGCCTGCGGATCGATCGCGCCGGGCAAGGCGCCGCAAGAATCCGTAAGTGCTCGTCGATAGGCGCGCCGAAACGATCGGCCATTACTGCTGGAGCTGGCTGCTGATAGGGTTTTAGATACTCCTCGCGGATTAGTCAGCGGCATTTTGTTAGGTCTGTAGCACAGGATCGCGCTCTAGTCCGAGAAGCTCTTGGGCACTACCCTAGGGTTGGATTGAGCGAGCTAGAGCCAGGAACAGGGGCTGGGATAGAAGGAAGGAATTAAAATGCACAAGGACAGGGACTGGGCGGTATGGCCATGGCCGATTCTTTGACTTGCTTGGAGAATGCTTAGTCTCACCAGTGAGTGGGAATTTCCAGAGCACAGCGGCACTGGGTCCTCTGTTCTTCGCGGTGGATCATCGACTTTTCGACAGTACCACATATGGAACATGGACCAGAGGCTTGTAGGATTAATGCCTTGCTCTGGAAAGAGTAGGAAACCCAAGAGCTGGAAAAAAGGATTTAGAATACACGATGCAGCATGCGGGCGATCTTAAGGAGAGATGCACAGGTATTCTACTGCCGCTGGTGGCAGTGGCGTTGCAGCTAGTCGAGAGGGTCCTCGATCCGATTCCACTTACTCTGCTATCGGTTTCACAGCAACAGCAAGGCACGTATCTTCTATCTTTTCTTTGCAAATTCTTGTTTTTCTTTTCGGAGCTCAAAGATCTCTTTACTGTTATCAGGCGTACTCCCCAGCTTACACCTTACAGGCTCAAATGCGAGAAAGAACCCCTGAACCCACGGTAGATATCTAGAAGCTAAATCTCCTCCGATGTTTTACTATTGTTCTTTCTAGGCTCGGACCTCCCGACTTTTATTTCCCAGCTCCCGATTGTCCAGAGGAGTCTTTAACGCGTGATACTTGCACAAATGGATACAAAGAAGCGATTGAGGGGATTGAGGTATGTTCACAACGATTGCGCCTGGTTCTCTTTACCTTAAAATACGATTCTATCAGGAAGCACGAGAAACGACGTGGACCTTGGCTACGAATAATGCGCTATGGGCAAAAGAGAATATCAGTCGTTACAAAGAGGTTCTTTTACTTGTTTATTTTGTTCTGTCGTGTATCAACGTGAGATTCTTTGCAGTCCCTTCGTAAGCGATTGCGGGCGGTAACAAACGCTCTCGTTAGAAAACGCAAGGTACGTGCATGTTTCTGTGCCAGTTCGTGCTAAGTGGTTGTATTATTCAGGCAGGACAAGTATACGATGTTCCTCTTGTTGGAGCGCTGCTTGCCAAAGCTGGACAGTTCCCAGAGCGACATACCTATGGAGAGGATTATCGGAAGAAATGGATAGAAGTAAGACTAGTAGCTTCTCTTGTATCTGCTGAAGTTCACAGTTTATCTTTGCAGGACCTGTCGCAACGTAAACGCTTATCTTTATTGGCAGAGCACGTTCCACATGGTTTTCACAGAAGAACATTATTCGAAGCCCTGGTTAAGCAAAATGTGCCGTTTCTCCGAGCCACCTGGTTTATAAAAATATCTTACCTCAACCAGGTACTTCTTCTTTGCACTTCCTATACTGAGTTTCTCATACAGAGGGTCTCCAGGTGCGCCCGGCTTCGAGTGCTGGCGCTGATAAGTCGCATGGCAAGCGTCTGGAACAGTGGACTCGGGACGTTTTAGATTACGCACAATCCGTACTTGACGAGATCTGCTCAAATGCGTCGCGTGCAGCACTGGCCCAGGCCTACGATTCTGTGCAATCTGTGGAAACCGACCTGGATGGCCATGCGAAATGGCATTACATTGTGCGGCTTGTGCAATGGCAGTATGCGGAAGGTCTTCTTCAGCAATCCCATGTTGTTGAGTGGGCTCTCAAGCAAATACAGGTTCTCATGTGCGCTTGCTTTGTTGCGTTAACTAATGTTTTTGCATGCAGGAAAAGGAATCGCTGGACGGTTTGGAGCTTTTGCTCCCTGTTCTTCTGGAGTTCATGGACTCTCTGTCACTTTCTCAGGTCCATGTCCGAATGTTGGTAGATATCTGCCAACACTGGCTACGGCAGCTTGGGGTGTCCAACGTCCTACCCAGCCCGGAAGAGCAGCCTCAACAATATCGCATCGTTGTGACCTTTGTGGAGATACTGCGCTACCTGCTTGTTGCTGTTCCAGACACATTCGTGGCTTTTGACTGTTTTCCTCTCCTTCCATGTGTTACGACACTGGAAGGTATGGAAATCGTCAAAGACGGTGACCCGAAAGCAGATACTACGAAGGGAAATGGCAGGCCAGGGAACCTTTGTCCGTATCGTGAAGTCTACATTATGGAGGTTGTCGATTCGATACAGAAACGAGCATCATCTCTGACGAAGGCTGTGAATCCGGGAGTCCTCAGAAACAACGACGGGAAAGTTATACAGGCTCTTGACAAGTCGCTGGCTGCTGGCGATCTCCTCAGCGCTTTCCAGGCCGTATTTGACAGCGATTTTTCTGGCTACGACCAATTACCCGGTGAATGGAAGACCTCCAGCTCCAACTTACCATTTCTATCCGGCATGCTGAACAACGTCAATCTCTCAGATCTTTTTGCGGTGCGGTATCTGTGCGAGTGGGCAGTCTGTGACTTTCGGGATACCAGACAAGCTTCTAGTATAAAGGTATCCACAGGCATCAAAGACTTGTCACGTATTTATACTGCAGCTTCAGTCCTCCTACTTAAGAAGGACTTCCCTTCCGGATCTCACGCTAAAAAGGCCAGGGTCAAGGGTGCATCGGATTCCAAGCTCAAGCGCTCTCCGATGCACGAGATCATCGTAGCATGGATAGATCAACATGATTCGAGAAAAGGGGAGAGCATGGAGAAGATGCAGCTTCTTCTATACGAACTGGTTCGTAGGGGCATTTTTCATCCGGATGCGTACGTACGACAGCTGATCGTGGAAGGCTTACTAGAAAGACGAGAGTCGCCAAGTGATATAAGCAGGGCGGCTCGTCACCGGCGGGTCTTGCGTTACCTTCCTGGGCTTCCGACTTTGGACCTTGACGATACCAAAGACACAGACGATATTCCGGAGAATGCACGACTGTATCGCAACGAGCGTCGGCTAGCTCTGCATGGTTTCCATTCCGACGACAAAATAGCTAAAGACCGAAGGTTGAAGGATCGCACGTATTCTTCAGAAGTGAAGGTACCGATGTCTGGTTCTTTTGTAACTAACACACTGGATAGGAAGCAGGTTAGCCGGAAACCAATGAAGTTGCTGGAAGTGAAACAGGCAGTCTGTGCGTATTTACAGATTCCAGACACTTTAGCGGGACAGCAAAAGTTCTGTGCTGGCCCGGTTGGTATCCTCAAGAGGGTGGCTGGTTCGTCCATTGGGGATACCCATGGGTGTGAAGAATGCAACGGTAGCAAAAGGCTTAAAACAGGCGAATCAAAGGGCACAGGGTTTATAGCAGACCCCGAAGACTCATGGTGGATAAAGAAGGTACCAAAGGTCTCGGATCCAGTCAAGCTGGAAGCTTCTATCAAGCCCCCAAAGCAAGGCGTCAGAGGGAGGCCCAAAACCGTGAGAAAGACTCAAAGCCTTGCTCAGCTTCATAGTGCTCGTGTAGATGGTGGCCAGGGTGCTTCTTCCAGTCACTCGTTTGACAGTAAGGTGCATTGCCCGTATCATAGGCCTGCAGCGAGTACCAAGCTTTCTCTGAACGACTTGAGGCCTAAAAACGACTTCCGTTCGATCGGCTCTGCACTGAAGCAGCTTACAGTATCTGAGAAGTTTAACTTCTCTTCATGGCTAGACAGAACGATCCGCAGCTTACTCGGGGAAGGCACTGCCAACAAGACGGGTCCGACGGCGAGGTGTCAGCTTAATGATGAGCAATTTGGAGTGGTGGTTTATATGCTCGACATGGTGTTTGACTACAACGTTCTCGTCAGGCTTCTCTTGTGGCTTCTACCTATGGCTGCTGGTACGTCTGGAATCTCTGCGAGACCACCAGTCAATAACAAAGAAACGTGCGGTGTCGGAGAAGCAGCAATTTTGTCATGCTTAAGAAGGTATGTTTTTTTTTTCCTTTCCGCTGCTAGTTTCTTATTCTTTATCCTCTTTATTTTTTCAGATACGAACTAGTGATAACATCTCTGAATCTCTTACCGGAGGTTCTAACCGTTGGGATACAGTGTGCTTCTTCAGTGATTGGAACCATTCCATCGGGCAGATCACAAATACTGATCTATGTCAGTGAGCTACTAAACAAGTACAAAGGGCTGATGACGGTACAATCGTGGCAAAAGACGTGGAGAGGTTCTTGCGATCAGAAAGTCGCGTTGGAACTGGAGGCTCTGAAAGTGGGAGACAGCGAAAGCGCTTTGGGATTCATCAATACCGTCGGTGAAGATCGAGATGATCCTATTCCTCAACGCCTGAACAGTCGACTTGCCAGGGTGGGAGCAAGCATGAAGGACTCAGTTCAGAAGGCTTTGGGGGAAGCAGTCTCGCAGATAGTCAGCAAAGAAAGAGAACTTCAGACGGCCAACTTTGCCATCAAAGACGCTGTGGCAGAGAAAGTGGAAGAATACTCCCACCGTGTCGTCACGGGACTTTTGGAAGCCATAAAACAGAACGGAACCGCTCAGACGGACTCGGGTCTCGTCAATGCTGCTGTGTCGGCCTTGGTTAGCAGCGCAAGTTCTTCCGCCGCTAACGCGCATGAGGTG